AGCACTGACAAAGGCCAAACAAACCTTTAGCAACTCACTTCTGTATAAGAAGATGCCTCAAGGTAAAAATCTCCACATACAGAACCTCACCAGAGTCCTAAGGATGCCATCACCTCCTCTCTTTCAATTTTCATTTTGCTCTACTTTACTGCTGTCAGGATAGCTTTTCTAGCTGCCATGATAGAACTGTCCAGCACTGAAAGCAAGGGTGGAGGAGACACTTTAGATTTCTTACCTGTTCATTCCTTTATTCTTATTTTGGGTCCCTGACTATCCACCCCACCCAGGCTATTTTTATGGGGCGCTTTCCAGTAAAATTACTCTGTTTTCTGACAGATTTTGTGCCAGTGTCCTCATCTGCTCTGTGTGCATATTAAAAGAAAGACAGAAAGAAAGAAACCATCCAACTCACTCAGGATTACTAGTTGGTTCCATTTGTAACCAAGACAGTGTCTCATGCCAGCATCCGGACTGTTGGTTCTTGGTATTAGGCAGCTTTGGGAGAACTCCACTCCTTTAGTTGTTCTTGTGGCGACCCACAACATTGAGGGATAGATCCGGTGCGCCTCTTAATTTCCACTACTGAGGGAACAACCTATTGTAGCATTGTCAGGCACTCAAAATAGGAGAATGGAAATGAATAGGTAAGATATTTTAAAGAGCATGAGTAATATAATGAAGAATGTTTTCAGACACAGTGGCAGCATTGCCATGACCTTTCCCCTGTCAGACTGAATTATTTTAAGGTTTAAGAAATAAAGCCTATATGGGCTTGTCAAGGTCCATTTAAGGGAAAAGAGCTTAGAAGACTCAGTTCTACTGGACTGATCTAAAGTCCCCTTGAAAGGCAATGGGAGAGGGGAAGAAGGAATGGGGAGTGTTTGCATTGACTTTAGTGAGCTTAGATAAAGGCAAGCCCTTTGTGATGCTAGGACTGAATGGCCATGCTGAACTGCATGTAACTGAGCATGGGCCTTGGATGAGAACCACTGTGAAATGCTAGGCTTTGTAGATATAAGCCATGGAGGTGTGGGCTGTCACTTGCAGAATATGAGACTGGAGAAGCTGAATGAGTAGCAAGACTTCCTTTGTCCCCCGTTGCTGCTGATCGATGAGAATAGCTGGTTTAGATTGGAACAGCGTAACTGAGCCAGTTCTTTAGGTGATGCGAGTCAGCGTGGAGCCACGCTGTTATACTAGCTGAAGACCTGACTCTGAAACTTTGCCTACATAACATTCAACCATAGTACTTCTAGCGCTTCACCTTCATTTTTGCTAAAGCGCTTCTCATGCCTTAGACCAGATAGTTTTGGTGACAGAGTCTCGTTTATTTTCCTGTTGTCCTAATGACTGTAGAAGTGGTTTGTTTTTCCCCAAGCATTTTTCCATCAGCATATAGAGCAGACTGCCCCACCAGCTCTGGTTAAAAAAAAAAAAGAAAAAAATTCCATTTGGCGATCTAAGAAATCCTGTCCCATGGAGCGGCCCTGGGCACTGACGCATGTGCCCGACACCTGCTCCGACGCATTCTAATTAGCTCTGATTAATTAAGTCTGTTGGCACTAATTAGCGCGCTCCAGCAGCCTCAGGGTCACATCCGTTCAGTGTCCCCTTGCTTCAAAAGGGTGGCAGGGGCGCTTTAACTAAAGCTTATCAAATAAAGTTTAGTTAAAGTGCCCCTGCCACCATTTTGAAGGGTGGGATGATGAATACACAAGATGCTTAGGTTGCTTTAATTAGATAGATTCCTGAGAGCCACTTTAATTTAAACACCTTCCCCTGCCACACACACACAGATACCCCAGAGCATGTGTAAAGACTCAGGGATGCCTTGTCCTGAAGAGGTGTGACATGGTTTCAATCTCCTTTGTAAGACACTTGTGTCAGAGCTTTCTGCCTCTGGCAAGAAAACATTTGTTCTACCTTAATTCGTACATCTCTCCTACAGGAACTGAAAAGGCCCTAAAACTCTGACTCCTACAATAAGTATCTCCTTGAGGAGTTAGCAGCGGGAATCCTGACATCGGTGAAAATCACATGGCTCCATTCCAATGCAGTGGTATGGATGTTTAAGCCCAAGCTACAAAACATTTTTCCAGCTTTTCCTAGTTTAGCAAAGCAAAATGATCTTTGTTGTTGCTCATCTTTCAGTGAAGCCACCCAAGACCAGCCAACTCTTATGATAGAAAGAGAGTCTGTTCTTTAGACAATAAAAGGCATATATAAGAGGTGTTTGGGACTTATACAAGAGGCAACCTAGTAAAACTATTCTTCTGTATACACGCACACTAGTCTTTGCTGCCTGACTTCCTATTCACACACCTCCTGTCTTCCCTTCCCTCACATGCAAACACACATTGTAAACAAGCTCAGTTGCTAAGGTCCATGCCTCACAGTGCCACTGGAGTAATCCATGCTCTTAGACACAAATCCAATTGCTCTACAGTTTTGCACTGCCTTAGCACTTAGTCTGGACTGCAAATAGGCCCATTAGTAATAGGTGACCTTGAAAGAATATTCTGTCTCCCCTGCACAGTCTTCCTCCTCAGAAAGCAATTCTTGGGAATGTGCTTTCCAGTGACACCACTTGCCCAGAGATGACGGGTCAGATAACCATAAATCTAAGAAGGTCTTAGCCCAGTGATCAAGGCTGGATCACAGTTTTGCCTGTCTGGATTTCTCTTGCCTCTCCTCTGTCAATATTTAACAGAACTGCAGTCAGCCTAGATACATAGGAAGGTTAAGTGACCTAACCAACTTTGTTTGACAGAGCTCTGCAGTACTGCATGAAGACCGTGTCCATGACAACTACTGTCCTTCCTCAAAAGGTGTTTTAAGGCAGGGCTGACAAACTTATCTGGGGCCTCAGGTTGGATTTGGACCGCAAGGCTCCTTGCAGGCTGGGCCAAATATGGGGCAGGGCAATGGTAGTAGCCACCACAGCCACTGCGGCGGTGGGGGATCAGCAGTTACCACAGTGGCAGGCATCATAGCAGCAGTGGGGCAAGAAGCCCCAACCAGGTGGCCACTTACTGTAGCAGAGGCAAGCAAACAGTGGCAGTCTAGGTGGCTTCAGGGTAAGTGGGACTGTGTCCGAGCAGCCTTTGCTCACCTGACTGCTGGCAAAAGCCATGTTCACCAGGGCCAGAGTGCCCCAGATTCTGCAGCACAGCATGCCCACTGCTGGCCATGCCCCCCAAAATCCATCAGACTAGATCGAGTGACTCCATGGGCCAAATATGGCCCATGGGGCTTATGTTGGGCACCACTGACTTAAGGAATACCAAAGCGTTTATTCAGTACCTACTTGGATGCAGGGGAAAAATCATGAGATATGCATGAGAGAAGCTGTAGAAATATAAATCAGTGGTGCTCAGTTGCTCTTTGCTTTGAAATATTTTCTTGCCAACAATTAAATAAAGTCAGGGAAATATCACAATGTGTCATTTGGCTAATTTCACCTAACAGTAAGAAAATTAATTCCTTTTTATTAACTATTGACTTAAAAAAAAAGCAGCCTTACAACTGCCAAGTGGTGTCAAAAATCTGCAATGACCAAAATTGGCTAATTTGTCCTTTCACATCCTTTCATTTAACTAGAACTGTTATGCTTGGGTTTCATTGGTTTTCATGTGCCATTTTTCTCACAGTTCTGCAAACAGATCTGGTTATTAGTTGCCCAGGTGATGAAGGACATTGAAACCTATTGCATGAAGCCAGAAACTCACGACCGCACAGTACTGCACGGAAGAGTGGCATAGCCTGGGTCTGATGAGACAGGCAGCTCTAGTGGTGGGTAGGTGAGAGATCAGACCCCAGTAAGTGAGCCATTGGTGAGTAGCAAAGTGGAAAGCTTCATACATTGTAGACTAGTGTTACTCTTCTTCTTCCATTTCTTTCCCAAATAGTAGCTTGCAGTAGGAGTCTAAAAATTATTCATTTCCATTCCACCCTTCACTGCATGCACAGTGATGTTCAGCTAAGCTGCTTGTAAATCTGTGGATCTGCTGAGCCCTGCAGAAGAATTCCCCTCTATCTGCCTTCAGGTGGAACCCACGCAAAAAAGGAGCTTTGCTGCACGTAGTTTGGGGTAATGGGTTCAGTCTGAACAGAGACATACTGGCTCCACTGCTATTCAGATCTTGTGCACCCAGGGGGAGAAGGGGCAGTATTTTGGTATTAGTAGGATGTATCCCAGTCTGAATTTGACTGTATGTCTTGCTCTTTCATGTCAGTCCCAAATACAGCCTCCTTCCCACTAAATTATACCACAGTTGGGAAGGACGTGACCAAAGCCAAGAAATTTAAAGCTGAAATTGACGTTTATGTATAACTTCCGCCATGGCGTACAAAATTGGCTCGGTCCTCCACACACAGTGGTCTTAGCTATGCATTTCCCAGCTTTTACTGGTTAGGCTTTAAACATTTAATTCCTTTGTGTTTTATTTAGAAGGCAGTGTTGTTTCTAAAATGCCTATGACTTACCAGACCCATTCTGCTCTAGATAAATGTTTGTGCATTTGATCCAATGTTTTATGGATCACATTTCCATGACATTGAGGTAAGGGGGAAATTCATTCCAGACAGAAAGAAAATGATCAGCCTGTGAACGATGTAAAGAGGACCAGTGGAAAACCCTCCCGATGAGGCCAAAAGATGGCACTTATTGTGAGTGACCCTCAACGCTATTCTCTCTGGGCCCTCCACAAGGATGGGGCCAGCTGAAGCTCCAGGGATGCACAGCTCTTGTGACAGTTTCTTGTACTGGGATGAATTTCCTCTGTAATGAACAGTTTACACTGAAAAGTACTTTGAAGTTCAGAGGAGCCATTTTGGTCCATTATGTAAATGAGTTTTGGGTCATGGTGCTTGCAGGCTCAATGCCTCAAGAGGCATGCTAAAAACATGTCAGGCAGTAAGGGAAATAGTGCCCCCTGTGAACTTGAATTTTATAGATCACACCTATTTTTAACTTGTACCAACACAAAAAATAGCTCCAAAGCCATCAAACCTCTGTTTATTTTTCGAACATGTAGTTCAAAATAGTCAAAAACAATGTTGTTGTTTTTTAAAGAACAAGTTGAGAAAAAAATATCCCAAAGTTGAGGCTGTTTGCTAAAAGCAATTTTAAAATGAGACCATTTTGAAAGCCTGAAAATAGGGGTTTATAATTGGAAGTGCCAATGTGCTCCTAAGTATAGCAGGCTTTATTACATCTCAACTACCAGGTACTGAGGTGGTGTTCCCTGAGCCTGCCATTAGTGATGTCTGTGGAGCAGGGCACACAACTATTTTGTTATGAAAATGCTGGCACAATGTTTCATGATGGAAGGTGCTGGAGCCTTTGATCCCCAGCACTGAAGAGATCTTTTGAAATGTCAGAGTGACTTATGTTTCCATGAAAATCAAGATCTTGCAAAGAGGAGCTGGGGAGGCTAGTCCCAGCTGTGTCTTGTTTCAGTGAAGCAGAGATAGGAGCAAGCTGCCTCAACAAAGCTAGATATACAGTCTCTACTATGGAGAAAGATCAACCAGCAAAGACCTCTAAGACCCAGTTCTTGCTTTTCTTTCAGGCAAGAGACAGGCTTTATTCACTTGAGGTTTGTGAGCCTCGTTTTGAAATGAGACCAAGTGACTCAGGACAAAAATAGTCAATGTGAATGAGTTGGGAAGAGGGAAGAAAGAAAATTCCTTGAGTTGACTATTTTAACATGGGCTGCATTTTTTGAGTAGGCGAAAGGACACCAGAATAGAAGGGAGGACTGAGTATCGCAGTGTAGAAATACCTCAAGCTGAGCTCAGAAAGGCCAACAGTTTCAGACGTGGGTGCCTAAAGTTAGGAACCTAAATCTGTCTTTGAGGACACAGGCAAGCTCTCTCATTTTTCAGTGGCATGGAGCATTCATTGCTCCTGCAATAGGCACTGGGAACTCAGAACCTCCAGAAAAATCAAGTTACTGATTTAAGGAGGAGGTCTTCAAAGGCACTTGAGAGAGGATTTGGGAACCCAGTTTACTATGAGGCTCCTTTAGAAGTCCCAGTCATAAGTGCCTAGCTCTGATTAGCCAAATGGGAGCATTTTGGCTAAAGTTTGCCTGTTGTGAAACAAGAGGCAATATGCTTTCCGTCTCATTAAAAGAATGCTGTTTTTCACTCTGGTCCATTGAGGTAGAGGCTTGTCAGAGATTTCAGTCAGTACTCAAGCAGCATATAGATGCTGTAACAAAGTGCAGGAGCACTTTTGTGACAGTCAACTCCTGACAAAGCACCAGGGATTGAACCTGGCTTCGTTAGTGCCAGAAGCATGCACTGCTTGAGCCAGAGGTATGAACTACCACTTGAGCTAGAAATCCAGAATTCCACTTAGAGAAGATAGGAGTTGTTACAGCCCCTTATTGGGGCACAGTGGGGAAGACATGTAACACACCTGCCAAAAGGTTTTGTGCAAAATTGTACCTTTAAGAGGTCCCAGCATATGCCATTTGGAACCACATACAGAAGGGCTCATGTATGCAGTACTGGTCAGTTACAACTAGGTACTAAATAAAGCAGACCTCAGTAAGACTCATTTCCTCAGAGTGATCACTGAACATCACAAATTACACTTTGTCCCTCCTTATATGATCAGCTCCCCAGTCAGTGACAAAGCCCCTCATTTTAGGCCCCCATGCCACAATCATCTTCCTGCAGGTACAGGGATCCATCCCAGAGCTGATTATAACATCTTGGCTTTAGCTATTTGCTCTTGCATTACCTACAGTTTGTAATCCAGATTAAACAGTTTGTAATTACCTACATCTTGTAATTTCAGATTAAACAGAAACACCTTTTGAGGGACTGCAGCATTCAAGAAGATGCTTCTCTTTTGCCTAGAGACCTTTTTATTTTCTCTGCCTATGCACCACTTAGCAGAGCTATTTTACGTCTGGAATGCAGCAGGGTCCTGTGGATTCAGGAGCAGGTTATTCTATACCTCAAGACAGGTGTGACAGAGGAATAATATGGAGGTGATGTAATGAGAGAAAAAAGTCCAAACAGATGACCTGGCACTGACAAATTGCCCTGCTGGTGCAGCCAGAGTGACACTTTGGTTCAGGCAGCCATAACAGTGACCTTTCTCTGTTAGAAATAATGGGAGGATCACCAGGTCTAGTCTCCATTTCACCTCAAACAACTGTAGTTAAGTCATTGGTGTCAGCAAACTCAGTTCCAGGTCTCCAGGTGCTGTAGATGCTGCCTCATTCCTCTCTATGGTACCTGCAACTACACAAACAAAATATCTTTATACTCTTTGTCCTTCATGATAGAGATCTGGCAAACAACCAGCGTGGAGTAGACAAGTACCGACACAATGAACCTTCTAGCTCTCCAAATGCCTCTCTCTCTAGCCTGGGGGCAGGACAGTCAGAACTGGGTGTAATAGTCTCTCTGAGGCCCCAAGGCCTCAGAGAAAGATTCCTTATAGTGCTTAGAGGCCCCAGCTGACACCAGGGCCCTACTATGCAGGACCCAGTACAGAATTCAGGCTAGGAGATGGTCCCCGCAGGCAAAGAATCTGCAATCTAAATAGAAACCTAAGAGGTACGGCTTTCCCTGTACTACAGAGAGGAACTGTGGCACTGAAGGGATAAGTGACTTGTCCAAGGTTACACGCTAAGTCTGTGGCACAACCCATGTATAGCACCCAGGCCTCCAGGGTACTAGTATTGTGCTCAACCAACCTCTCTAAATGTTTGTAGTACACATCTAGTTCTGCCCCCAGGAGAAGGATAGAGGTAGAGGAGGGCAGAAACCATTTCTGAGGCTTTTCTTAGGGGCAGATTTGAGACACTCATGCCAAGATAATTCATAATGCTGGCCAAAATAATCTCAGTGTCATGAGGACATATGCCCATGGTGTCTGAGAGGAGGACAAGTGCTTCATCTCTGGCATTCATCTCTGCTTATGAAATGAGCCTTATCCTCCCCTCTCAAAAAGGTTCCTGAAACACATATTATGTCTTAATATTTAAACCTGCCCATAAATCCTGGCAAGTCATCTTGCCACTCACAGCAATATAATCTGTTGCCAGACAAATATCTGCAAGGTGTGTAACTGCATTCAGAGAGGGTGCCAGGTGGTGACAAACGGACCAAGCACTATCCTGGGCAGATTTAGGAATAGGAGTCAGAGCTGAAGGGCGTTGCCTCACAGGAGCTGGAAAAGGATCAACTCGGAGCAAATGCTGGCGCCACATGTAGAGGCCTGGCTGCAAGTGGCAGAAGTCTGTGGGCACTGGATGCCTCTAACATATTCCAGTGCCCTCAAGACAAGGTAAATTGGTGGTTGAGGCAAAAATCAGTAGTGTGTGCAGTTATCCTGCCTCCACAAAATTCTTGGTAAACCGATTTTTGTTTGTTTGCGTTATATAATTATTTTTCTTCCCACTTTAAAGCACATTTAGCGTGGATGCCAGATCGACAGCATTGGAAAACCAAGAGCTAAATTTATCCCTCAAGCAGATACAGCAGAGTCTGCTATGATGCAAGTTTCCTTCCCTTTCCTTTTTCACTTCCTACTCCTCATCCCTATCCCTGGCTCTCAGCTGTGCCCTAAAGGGGCCAGCTCTGGGAGCAAAAAACTGTGGCAATCTTAGTGTTCATTCCTCTCTTCACATCTTTGCCAGCAATGCCAGGCATGGCTAATTGCCGGTTTGAAGAAGGTCCTTATTAAAGTAGAAAGGGAATCAGGTAGACTAAGGGTCTGAGCCGGCTCACATTAAGCTCAGTGGTAAAGTTTCAGCAGTGACACTGCATTTGATTTCGGCTGTGTATGACTGGGTCCTAAGTAACAATATTTCTAGGAACAGAAGATTTACTGCGTGAGGTCAGCCCAGCAATCCCCCTAGTGTGGTATCTTGGCCCTGACAGTGGCTGGTAATAGATGCTCAGAGCAGTGGTGCCCAACCTTTTGGCCGTGCAAGCCAAATGAGTACTGCAGGGTCAGTCCACAGACCAGATCCAGTCTATTGGCCTGATCTGGCATGCCCTGGATCAGGCCTACTGATCCACGACAGCCAGATTCCACATACAGGATCATGTCTCTCGGCCCATGGGGCTTGGAAATTCGGTGGTGGGGGAGCAGTGGCAGCATTAATAGTCACTGCTCCCCTGCTGCTAAATTTCGAGACCCTGAGGGAACCCCATGGGCCAGATCACACACCTCTGCAAGTCACATTTGGCCCCTGAGCCAGGGCAATGAACACCCTTGCCTCAGAGGAAGAGGTAAGAACTCTGCAATAGGTGACTATGGGGTGACCTTCCCCCTGGGAAAGTTTCTTTTGACCTCCGTTACAGATTGGCTCTGATGCAAAGAGGGGCGAGTTCCCTACTGAAAGCTCTTTTTTTGCTTGCCTGCTTGTTTCTTCTTAACTTTTACTATGGCAGCGGTGGAACTGTTACAACGTTCATGTAAGTACCCAGCAGTGCTTTTTCAATTCTGTGAGGCTCTTGGCCTTACTGAGAGTGTGTGGAGGTATGTTCAACAGGCCAGTTATGTAAGGTCTTAAAAATATATATTCTGTTCCTTAAAAATGAAAATGACTCTGCCTTTCAGTTTCCTCAAATATCCCATCCTTCCTCAGTTACAAGGAAGCATAAAAATCAGTGCTTCATCAACAGGAATGATTCCTTAACAACAATTATTCTGTGTTTCTTAGCTGGTTTCTTGTCTGTCTCTCTCCTCATGACTACATAGTTATGGTAAGAGCTTCTTGTGAGGGACTCTGACTATGGCTTTTTCAAAAGTCCATGTAAATCATTCCAAATCAGGCCTACTTTTATTCATTATTTTATTAATATAGTCAAAGAATTCTGGTATACTGGTGAGGGAGTTTTCCTTTGCAAATACCCAGAGCCAGCCTTAGGGAAAATGGTGCTCTGGGTGAAGTTGTATTTTGGCACCCCATCAAAGTCAGTGGCACTGCTACAGCCAGAGGCAGGCAGGTAGGGGCACAGTCCAACAGGGAGGCAGAGCAGCATGGTGCGCCACGCAGGCAGGTGGGCACGCACTGCTGCTGCTGTATAGGAGCGAGGCAGGCAGACTGGAGCAGGTGCCACCCTGTCCACATGTGCCCGGCCCAGCTCCTCCTAAACAGCAACTGGAGGCTGGGGGTGAGCTGAGCTGGGCACTGCTCCTCCTGCCTGGGGTAAGAATGGCCAGGGAAGGGCAGGGGGACAGCGCTGCTGTGAGCACAGGCTTCTCGTGTGTGTGTGTGTGTGTGTGTGCATGTGTGTGTGTGTTTGGTGCTCCCTGACCATGTCACCCTGGGCATGTGTTTGGCACCCGAATGCCATCTTGGTTGGTCCCCTTTATATGATGATCACTTAGATGATTAAAAACAGAATTATTTAAACCTCTTTTAAACAATGTACCTTGTCCCACAAGAACATGCACTAGTGTAATATACAGCATTTCCCCTGCTGTCTTTGCAAAATATAGATAACAGAATTTGCAACTTTCTTAGTTTTCCAGTAAGGTAACTGATTCATAGCACAGGGGCCCAGATTCCTGGCTCCTTAATCAGACACCTAACTGAGGTGGTCAAATTTTCAAATATTCCTGGCACCCGACAGCTGCTGTAGAGAACTGAGCTTGTTTGAAAATCTGGGCCAATATGAAGAGTGGGAACATCATTAACTGTTATACTGAGAAGAAACAGTGATGGTCAGGACAGAAAACTGATCACTGATTGCCTGGCATGGGGAAGAGTTTTCTTTCATTGGCCTGTGAATGAATTATTGAGCTAACTCAGGGTTTTATACCTTCCTACTGACTAGTGCTGGTGGCAGGACACTGAGTGCATAGGCCACTGATATGTGTCCATCTAAAAGTTCCTGTGCGTCAGTGAAGCTCTTTGTGAAATATTCAGCACACCTTCTCATCAAGTAGAATCACTGGATGGTTTCATAGATTTCATAGACATTAAGTTTGGAAGGGACCTTGGAAGATCATCGAGTCCAGCCCCCTGTCCCAGGGGCAGGAAGTCAGCAGGGATCATAGGATCCCAGCAAGATAAGCATCCAATTTGCTCTTGAAGGTGTTCAGTGTAGGTGCTTGAACCACCTCCCCCAGATCCTGGTGGGAACGTTTTATATGGAGTTGACTGGTGGCATCTACCTCATTCACAGTCTTAGCTCATTTTTACTTCCTGAATGTGGAATGGTGTCCAGCAGCTGAAGAATTAACTTTGCCTGTCACAATTCACTTTTATAGGGATACCTTTCACTTCAAGACTCATTTCCTCCCTGGTTGAACTGGATGAGTGCAGACACTATCTTCTTTTCATCAGCCCTTGGGATTATCCTGGTCCACTTCTTAGAATCTGACAAATCATATTATCTGGCCCTTTGCCCCTCTTACATTCAAACCCCTCTACTAGCTCATTTCTTTCTGTGCCTCCTTACACTTCCCAAGATACATGTTATTATCTTTGTTCTACTCATCAGTACATCTGATTCATTTTCTTTATCTATTCCTTTTGTAAGTCTTCATGATTCTGATGTGGCAGCCTGCTAAAGGGTGTTTGTTAGAGACAGAGTGACTTTATCACAACTCTTGTTGGATGCTGCAAAGGACTCACCAAGGTACTATCAATGTTGGATCTCCTCCAGTCAGGAGAACAAGCAAGCCTTCAATCAATAACCCCAATAAACTCTTTCCTTTGGAAAAAAATGAATGGCTAGAGATAGCTTCTCATTGTTTTGAGGTGTTCCCTAATTATCAAAAAGTATTCTATCCGGTTTGGAAAGAATTCTTTATGAAAAGCCCAGCTGAGCCAAGAGGTAAGACAAAGACCCCATTCAACTCTTGAAAATGTACATGAAAATTAAATTAACCTCCAGTATCCCATATACAGTACCTGTACCAGGGTGACCAAGAGGAGTTGCCAAAGACTGTTGTAGATGCAGAAACAATAGAATTTTCTTCTGCTTTCAGAGGAATGTGCACTGAGAGTCCACAGTTGACAGGCTTATTCTGTGGGACAGTGGATGTGCCATCTCTTAAATGCTGCATAGCACCAAATTCCACAAACACTTGCAGTCAAAGATCCTATTGTGCCTTTTGCAAAAATGGTTATTGGTTTCAGCATCTGGGCCAATTCTGACTCACTAAAATTGGGTGAACACACTGGCAGCACTGAATCCCAAGCAACAGAACACCAGCAATGAAAGCACAAGCACTTACCAACTCAGCTAAAGGAGAAAATCCGTCTATTGTGGCTAAGTATCAGCTTCTTGCTGAGGCAGAGAATCCCATGCTGTAAGACAATATATCACAGTGGTTTTTATATGTCACATTCCATCCAAGAGGTGGCTGCACATCAGTGTTGGGTGAGGCACTATCTAAATATATATTGTTTGCATGGCAGCTCTGCCTAAGAATGCAAGTGAGGGATGTGGAGTCCACTGCACAGTACAAACATCGAATGAAGTCAGCCTTTGCCCCAAAGACCTTACAGTCAGCAAAGCAATCTGGGAACTTTTGGTTTAAAGGCACATTACACAAGTAAAGATTAATTATTAGCAGCTTTTTTCCATGTGACTGCAGACACACCCACTCTCACACATTCACCAGCAAAATGGTTTTAATTAGTTATTGAACACTGACATGGCATTTCACCAAGAAAATAAAGAGACAACCCCAAATGACTTCAGTCCAGGTGAAGTTACATTAAGGGAATGGCTTGAATTAATCAAGCAAATTCAGAGTTAACACTAAGTATTTGGGCTGACAATCAGATTCATTATGTGGCTTTCTCCCCTGGTGTTGGCCAGGCTCTTGCCTTCCACTCTTTCTTAGCTGAGGAATATGAGGGTGCTTCATCTTTTCTTTCTTCTTGATGTCAGCTGGGCTCTCTCCCCAAACATGTCTATGTGCACATGCACACAATTGGCTCTTATGAGCAGGATCCGACCACCAGCTACCTGCACTCCCACTTAGACACAAGTGAGAGTGACAGCAGGCAAACTTCACACCTGTGCTCATTAGAGGCTGGCTGCCGCTTTAGCAGGCAACCCCTGTGGGGGCTGGTGTAACCTTCAGGAGAGGGAAGCCAAGAGGTAAAGGGGGTTTAGGAGGAACACCAGTGAGTTTGCTACTGACAGCTATCAGCCTCCCACTTCGGCCCAACCCCTACTCATCTGCCATGCTGGGACCTAATCCACATTTTCAGAACTGCTACAAGCAGCATAGTACTATGTGCTAATAACTGAGCTCTCCCCTGCCCCTTGCATTGCTTTGGTTGTCTGATGGACCCACATCTAGGTTTGATGAAGCAAGGAAGAGAGCCCAGGGCCAACAGACTTACATTTTTTTCTTTCCTGCATGGGATCCACACTTTTTTCACTTTCACACTTTATCATGGTAAGTGCAGGAAGTTGGTGGGAAGGAGGCAGGGTTGCCTCATACTCTACATCAGGGGCCTCTTTGCTCTCAATGTTCTGCTTCTCACCAAGAGTGCTGTCTACCGTGTCCTCATTGACCCCATCTCCTGTATTTACCTTTGTTGCAAAACTTGATACAGTGATCACCCAGCTGTCATGATGCCAGCTATTGTACTGGGTGGTAGAAAGAGAGGATTAATACTATAGCACTAGTGCTTCAGTACCCAAAGCAGGGATTAGACTCCCATCATATAAAAGGCATTACACAAACAAATGACACAAAGACAGTACCAGCCCTAGAAAGCTCATAATCTAGGATTCAGACAATATCCAACAGGTGAGTAAACAGACAAGTGAGGCAGGGAGAGGCGGGAAGGCCAAACAGCAGTGGAAACAAGTGTATTTGCATGAGTTTAGAAGCAATGGCCTCAGCCAGGCCAAGCTGGACAGTCAAACAGATCAAAGGTCATCCAGAATCTAGCAACCAGATTTGGACATCCGCAAGAACTACTTCACAGTTAGGGCGGCTAGGAGCTGGAACCAACTTCCAAGAGAAGTGGTGCTGGCCCCTACCCTGGGGGTCTTTAAGAAGAGGCTGGATGCCTACCTGGCTGGACTCGTTTGAGTCCCGTTTCTCTTTTTGGGGTTTTTTGCTGCTCTCCCGCCCTGGCGGGGGGTCGGGCTAGAAGATCTACTAGGTCCCTTCCGACCCTTAATCTATGAATCTATGAAAACCCACAAGGCAACAGCAGTTTTATTTCAGCCAATTTCTGTAGCCAACAGCACACAAGGGATCCTTGTGGCAACTCTCCATTTCGCCACCTTTGACTCTCTGGCATGAATGGCTACATGCCTGTTAACAGCTAGGTCCATAAACTGAGCCTATGGCACAGTTCCAGAGCCTGCCTATGAAGCTGTAGGCTTCTTGGTGAGAACCAGGACACTTTAATCACTCTGCCTCCATACCCCTCTAGAGCAGAGCCAACCAGGAATTACTCCTATTCATTTTTTTATCTTTCCAGCTGCAGGCACTGTTTCTCTCATGATTACATGGTTTGGAGTTCTTTTAGATTATACAGTATTCCCAGCAACCCCTCAGTCTTGGCATTATCAGTCAGCTACAGCCTGATTTTTAAACCTACTTGGGTCACCTATCTGTGGGTGCATCTACATGTGCATTTAAGCACGATTAAATTAAATGCGCATTAAGCTAATGTGCATTAAGTGATCTTTTTGGCAGGTCTCTACACATGTAGAGACTTGGGACAAAAGTTAGTGCACTTGGCACTAAAGTTAGTCCCAAGTCCCTTTGGCCCTGCCATGTGCACCTGTGGCTACCAGGTGGAGCTCCAGCCTCCGGCAACATGGCTGCCAGCACTTGGTAGCCATGTTGAAGCCAGATCTAGCTGCCAGCACCTGGCAGCGATCTAGGAAACTCTGATCCCTGGCCAGCCCCTTACTTGCCCAGGAGCCACATGCCCAGTGCAGGGGTAGCATACAGCAGCTCCCTCCTTGCCCACTCTGCCTCCCTGCACCAGGGTTGCTCCAGCCGCTGCTCCTGCCCCTGCCAGTGATGGCCAAAGCCCACCTTCTCCAGTCTGGCCCCTGCCAGTGATAACTAGCACCCAGGACTCCTGCTGGCCATGGTGCTAGCCCTGCTGGATTCAGCAGAACCCCCCTGCCCAGGCCCCAGGACAGCTGTGCACCTACCAGCAGGGGCCAGGGCACTGGCTGTGGGAGTCCCTGCCTGACCCCTACCTCCTGCACTCCCCACTCCAGCCCACTTGCCCCACTATTCACACACCCTCTACCCCCGACCACCCCCAGCACCACTCTCAGGACATGTGCATCGTTGAAACAAAAAACATTTCTTAACAACCAGAACCCTCTCCTCCCTTCCACCTCAACCAACAGAACCCCTCCACCACCCTCCCCACACACCAAAAATAAAAAACCCGCTTACAAGTGGGAAACTATATACAAGGGAAAACTATATACAATATTTTGTCTTCAAGCCCAGATTGAGGGAAGGGTGTAATCAGGGAGGGGGGTGGCTAGGGGGAAGGTGCCCAGTACCCCAAACCCTGGATGTTTGCTGGGGTTGGGCTCAGGCCAGCCCCCTAGTGGCAGGGCAGATAGTGCCAGGTCACATCTACATGTACATTAATGTGCATTAACTAGTCATGCCTAAATTTGATGCCTAAATCATGCCTTTGTAGGGTGTAGTGCAAAAACAGCCACCACTGCAGTGCAGCTGATTGTGGCACCACAACTGGCATGGTGGTAGCCCACACTGTCCCAGGTGTCTGTGGCTGCCCTGGGCACAGAGGTGCCCTGCTACACCTCTGACAATACTGTTTAAATCTAGCATGGATTCTAACAGGAAGTAACAAAACACTTCATGGAGAGTCACAGATGAAGCAGAAAAGGAAGGTGTCACATTGAGCCGCAGAGTGAAAAAGAGCTTTATTGGCTTGGAGGGAATGACCTGTCATGAAGGGACAAACAGGAGTTGAAAGAGCCACCCTTCAGTTTGTGGCTTCATGAGATGTAGGGTCACCTTTAGGAAGCCATTTTTAAGTAGGTGGATAGTTCTGTTTCGCATACATTTTTTAAATGTCTCCTTTCTTAAAAAAAAAATATATATATAATCTATTCCTTTTAAATGTTTCAGCATTACATTGTGTCATGGTTTTGATCCAACTTGGCATGAAATGTAAAACCCAGAGGCTACTTCTGCAAGATGGATCAGACTGCCCACAATTCTACTCACCAGTTGGCACGACAGCACAACATGTCAACAAGGAGTGTACAAAAGATACCATTGCCTTAAAACAAACACTATGCATCTACATGTTGCCCTACAGAAACCTTCTTACCATACCATGCTTTAATACTGTGCTGGTTATTTTTAGCAGCTGCTTTGCTGTAGTGACACACTATAATGGAGAAGCACACTGCTAAGGCTAACTAGATGCTAGTAACATGTAGACACCTGTAAACACTACGTCACCATAGTGTGTTGCTATGGCGATGCACCCACAGACTATTTAATTACACTTAGGGGGTAGATTTTCAAGGACATAGTTGGATACATAACTCCCATTGACTTTCAATGAATGAGTGACTTTTGGTTAGATGCCTAAGTACTATTGTGGCTCCAAAAATCTGCTCTAGAATCAAATGTTTTAAAGTACAACATTTCAAATTGAAAAGAAAAAAAACAGTTCCAAATGGAGAGACAAGAAGAGCAAAGCAAAAAGACCAAATGTATTTGCATGAAGCAAACTGGTGATTATTTAATCATTCATTCACAAGGGTTGAAATTCATACACTTTGGAAATGTTTGCATGAGACCAAAATGTTTTGGATTCTTATTTGATCTATATGCAATGAAAATATTTTATTTCAAGAAGTAGAACTGCTCCCTGATCGTCCTTCTCAATGCCAGCGGACAACTTCCAAAGAATGACCTCCCATGATGTCATCCTTTTTTCCCCACTAACCCAGAAATCTAAGCTGTTCCCTTTCCTTCAACCTTTCTGATTCCCTTGAATGCTGTATTTCAATTCCATGGTGTTTTCCTAGGTATATCCAGCCACCAGTTGCACCTTTTGCATTGGGGTAACATTCGTTTTTGAATTCTAGTCCTGGATAATAATAAAGCCCAGTACACCTCAGCCTGAACACAGAATAAGCTCTAGGCAGCTGTACTCAGTCCTAGGAGCACAAGAATTCAGGATGGAATGCAATATCCTGCTTCTGGTGGTAACGTCTCCCAGCTATTCTAGAGGAAGACAAATTCTAAAAATCCCATAATGTATCTGCCCATTTGTGAAAAACTATAGCATGTGGGGAGAGAGGGAGGATTGGCCACAAAACGTACATGCTTCCTTCGAGTAGTCAACATTTTTTTTTTTTGGCAAAATCCTATTTTCTCTGCAGTGAAAAAATGGCTTCTAAACTAGAATGAAAACATTGTGGAATAAACTTTGTTCTCATCAAAAATTGCTAGGGAGAGTGGGGTTAAAGTACAAAAAGAATGTGGTAGG